AACTAGCTTTCATGTCCTTGACAATTATCGAAAACCAACAGAGCTGTTTTTACGTGTTTTTACTGTGTAATTACCAATAACGCAAAAGAGCTTTATTAACATAGAAATGATATCCATCGAATATGTGCCCATGAAAACCATTCACAGCAATCCACAATGTCTTCGAATTGTGGTGAGATCAGGTTAGGTTCTCAATTTGGAAAATACTTTTCCAAAAAAGTTTGAGATAAGTGTAGAAAGAAGGAGATGGAAACGGGGAGAGAGGGAAGAATCTTTACTTGATACTTGACACTTGAACGGCACGTCCTCACTAGTTGTGCGGGCTCCAGCACAATCACCATTCTTCGGAGATTTGCTGGTTAAGCCATTGTGGTTTCCTGGAATTCCAAGGTCAGCCTGGATAAAGTCTGCCCCAGGTCTTCACCACCACAGGCAGTCCCAGCCCTTGTGGAACAGAGGGAGATTTGCCACCATGCGACTTTGACACCAGCACGGTGGCGGATCTTGGTATTCGTTTACTCTTAGCTAGGCTTCCTGATGGAAACGCTGGTTTCCTTCTTAGTTCGGGAGACCCTTCTGGGAGGAGGAATCCCTCCGTTGTATATCGCAGTCCGACACCCAGGAACACCTCCCAGCCACGATGAGGCGGTAAACCGCTAGGAGGAGGGAAGAATCGCTAAGTAAAATGTTGGAGGCAAAAAACTCGCTAGGTTTTAGTGCTTCCTATTGCATTCACCTTTACGTTTAAGGCAAGTCTTCATTTTTGAAAAAAGTTCGACTGACGAAAAACAAATACTCGCACACCTCGCCATCCTGTGGAGTTTGGTTGGGAATTCATATCCGATTTTGAGTTCCATTTTTCTTGCATATCTTTTATCAACAGTTTTTTTCTCGAATAATTTGCGATTATATTTAATTGAGAAGATCATTTTGGGCAATTTCGTGTAGCATAATTGAATTACAATACAAATTGGGTTCTTGACACATTTTAGCCGTTAAAGTCTCAAGTGTAAAGATGGTAGTTTCGACTAAGCAACATTAACGAGCTGTGATGCCAGAAAGGAGTTAACGAACGCGCAGTGAAACGTTTGTTCGAGAAACTTCGTAGTGACGCAATCTGCCTTAAAGATGAGATAGGTCACAGATGTCCTTTATTGACGGTCAACTGAAGGCTTCCGTGAAGGTAAATGCATGTTCGAGAACCTGCAGGAGAACTCGCTATAAGTATCTCAACTATTTTGGAGCATTTAAAGAATATCGAAAAATCGAAGAAGGTCGAAAAATAGAAGCCGTATGAATTGGCAGCCGATAGCATTACCAGCCGCAGGGCACATTTAGTGGACCCGACGCTTCCAGAGATAGAACGAGATGGACTAGGAAATTTTGCCTCATCCACCTCTATAATCTCAGTAGAAGGAGCGTGACACCTAATTCTCAATCGCATTTTGAAGGTGCTCTACTAACTGGCTTCAGTTACCTTGAGTTACCTTGAACTTTCAAGAGTGTGAAGAAAGTGAAATCTGATGAAGCCTCAACTGTTGTGAACAATTATTAGTTTGTTACTTTAATGTATTTTCTAGCAGCAGAATATTTTTTTAGTTTCTTTAACCTGTTTCCATATTTTGTCAAAAGTTAAACTTTTTTTTTTACCAATTTTGAGCCTTGCTATTTTAGATGTCAAAAAAGAATTCCCGTCAAATCTTCTTTTATGAGTTCAAACTTAGTCGTAATGCAGCAGAGACGGCTCGAAACATTAATGCAGTTTGCGGTGAAGGTAGTGTTGGTGAATTAACAGTGGGAACGCGGCTACGGAAATTCGGATCCCGTGATTTCGATCTCGAAGATAAGGAAGGCGGCTTGCGGATGTTCTAAAGAATTTGACAATGACGAATTGAAGGCACTAGTGAAAGAAAACACGCGAACAACTGCTCGAGAGCTTGCAGAACTACTTAGTGAACTATAGGAACAATCACAGGATTGCTAAGATCATTGCAAAACTCCAGACCGCAGGTGCCTGCGGTGGGGAACGGACGCGCGCTATTGTCCTTTCCGGGAAGTAACGCGTACACCACCATACCGTACGAGTTCTTTGTTTCGTCTGTCTCTCAGATAGTTCGATCTGTGCCGTCAGCAATCACCCGTCAACGGGATTGTTTTGGGGAGCCCACATTGGCATTGAACGCAGTTAAGCTGGGGCTGTAGTTGAATTCACAATGTTTACTTTTTTATTACAATATTAATAAAAATAAAAATGGTAGCAATGTTACAAAGTGTTTACAATGTTAAACCGTTTTGAAGTGTGCTCTTATACGCGCGCATCAAAAACGACCCTCTTCTTGATCAAATTGTGACGTGTGACGAGAAGTGGATTCTGCTCAACAACCGGCGACGTTCAGATCAATGGTTGGATTGCGATCAAGCTCTACAGCATTTTCCAAAGCTGAAATTGCACCAAAAAGGTTATGGTGGCTGTTGGGTGGTCTGCAGCCCTGATTCAACACAGATTTTTGAATCCGGGTGAAACGATTACGGCAGAAAGTATAGCCAACAAATCGACGAAATGCACAGTAAACTCCAACAACAAAAACCGGCATCAGTCAACAGAAAAGGACCAATCCTTTTCAACGGCAATGCCCGGCGTCACGTTGCGGAACCAGCGCTGCACAAATTGAACGAGTTCAGCTACGAAACTTTCCCGCGTCCACAATCACTTCTTCAAGCACTTTGACAACGCAAAAAATGCCTCTACAACCACGATGAGGCAAAAAATGTCTCCAAAGAATTCATTGCTTGCAGAACCTATGAATTTTATTCAACTAAAATAAGTATTTGTTTCTTGTTGGCAAAAATGTGTAGATTCAACAGGCTTTCACTTTGATCAATAAAGTTTTGCTTGCAGCTAGTTATAACATTTTAAATAATATAGTTGAAAACGGTTATTTATTTATGAACAAATAATATACAATGACAACCTCGCATGTGCCTATTAAAAAAATAGCGAATTATCGACTTTCTGTCATAATTTCCTCCCAACGCTTTACCGCCTCATCGTGGCTGGGAGGTGTTTCTGGATGTCGGACTGCGATGTACAGAGGGGGGGTTTCGTTACCCCTGCAGAGTCTCCCAAGCTGAGAAGGAGTCCGCCGTTTATATTAGGAAGCCTAGCTAAGAGTAAACCAATACCAGGATCCGCGACCGGTTTGGTATCAAAGTCGCATGGTGGCAAATCACCCTCTAATCTGCAAGGGCTGCGACTGCCCGTTGTGGTGAAGACCTGGAGCAGACTTTGGCCAGGCTGACCTCGGGATTTCAGGAAACCACAACGGAGTAGTTTGGATGAATTCACGACAATGGAAGTGGCATTCACTGTTTCACGGTGCTGAAGAAGGCCGCAGATTTTGTGAATACGATAGGGAACCATTAAGGATTCACGGTCGAGCAATGTGAAAGAAAGGATTCACCTTTTTTCGCTTTTTAGTGTGCTGAAAAAATGAGCCCTGCTATTCATTGCTGCATTATAACTGCAAGTAGTCACTATTTGATAGAAAGCAAGCGATTAACTTGTTTTGTATTCTTCCTTCTTGAGGCAACCGTAGTGGATAAATCAGATGGTGTTACGTCGTGGAAGCTGTTCGTTTTCGATTTATTTTGACGTGTATGTTAACTTAGATTTATTCATTTTCACTCCAGCTTTATTTTTTCTGTAGAGTCCTGCCCACGGACCTCCCTCGCAAGGGCTCATACAGATTAGTTGCGAGGTAATGTGGTGCGTCTCCAGACAGGTTAGTAGGGTACAAGAAGCGACCTCGTTCTTCCCAGCTGGATCCAAAGAATGGGCTCCACTTTTCTACGCGTCGATTTGACACATTCGTTCTGTGTTTACGAGAATGTACTCATGCATGCGTGAGTGGGTGTGCTCACCCTAATGCTGATTACATCCTTCGGGTCAATTTGACTAAAGCTTGCAAAAAAGTGAGTATCAAGTATATGGGGAACAGCTTGGAGTCAGCTCCAACAAATAAGTTCCTCCTCTATTCTAGGAGAAAATGCTAACTACACGTGAGTACGTCTAGCCTACACGCTTAGAACATAGCACGCTATACGTAGGTAGCAAGAGTTATCAAATGCTAAACACCGTAAAATAAGTGGGCCTTATTCCTTCGACTCATAAAGAGCCTCTTATACGGCGGCATTTCGTTCAACGAGTACAGAGGGTTTGCTAAAATCTTAGGACTATTCTAGTCTGCCTTATTTGCAAAGGACTAAGGCGACGATCTGTACCTGTAATGCAGGAGCATTTCCATCTGAGTCCTCGATAGAAGACATGGTCTTGCAGGTATGAAGGATAAAGTAACACGTGATCGGAATGGCCGAGACGAGAAGACGTCACCCATTCAAAGCCTCCTACGGAGGAAAATCGCTCCTCGGAACATGCGATAGTAGAGGATTCGGTGGTGTCGCCATTTTCGCCAACACGAATTTGGCCACGAATACCCATCCATTCAAACAGCTAACAACCATTATCAGAAGTCTTCGATTGAGGAAATGTGGATCAACACAATTTTCCTCGTCTTCGCATCAACATGAAGCCACAACGAAGGTGAAGTTGAAGAGTTTTACACGTAGTTGCTGAATTTCAAAGAAAACCATACACGACCATTGTTGCAGACCTTAATACTAAGAGTGGACCCAGAAGAACGTTACATTAAGGTACACGGATTGAAATAAAACTAGCACATCAGGAATAGTTTCTCATAACGAGCACGATCATTCATGGAAGATCGTAATTCCAGTTCATGCAATACGTTTTACATCCCAGGGAATCTCATTTAGGATTCTTGTGCATCAGTTGTCGTTAATACGCATTCCATCTCTGACGAACCTTATTTTTGACATTTTCTTGTGTAGAACAGCCTCTCTGGTTATTGACTGTTGACGTAGTCGACGTTTCGGACTCCATGAATCTTTTGAGTTATACGAATTATTCCAACAGCGTGGTGATGGAATCGTTCGACGTCACCGCCTTCTATACAAAAGTGTCGAATGACCCCGCCTTGCAAGCCATCCTCGAACTCATACAACACAAAGAAGCAATAAATATGTACGGCTTCTCGATTCAGCAGTTGATGACACTCTTAAAGGAGTGCCTAAACTGCTCAATCATCAGATGGTTTGAGAGGTATTATGCACAAATGAGAGCGCTGGCAATGGGACGACGACTGATATCAGGCATTGCCATCGCATTTATGTCTAAAATGGGTGCACCAGTAATCGATCCTCCGTCACTGTTCAACTGTGGACATATAGATGACTATTTAGTCAACTGCTTAACACAAGGAGGAATGGACAAATGTTTTGAGTTACTAAATAAACGGTCAAAGCATATTAAGTTCACCTGAGAGAAATCGAAAGAAAAGTGGCTTCTATCTCCTGAAAGTGCAAATCGACCCATCAGAAAACGGCTGCACTACGAAATGGTAACGAAAGCCAAGGTGTGTATGGCGCAGTGGTCGGTGGCACCCTGGAACACACGCGTGAAGTCTATCTCCGCGCCCATGGCCCACCAAGCCTTCCATCCCTCCGAGCTCGCAAACAACACTGGCTCGGTACATCGGTAGACCACCGCGAGTTATTGTAAAGGCCAAATATGTATCCAATCACCTCCAAGGGTTGCTTAATGAAGTCGAGTGCATGGCGCGTCCCTCAGGGATTGATCAACGCCGAGAGCTTTATTTTTTTATACCGAAAGCCATGTAAAAAAGCATACTCATTCATTATCACTCCTCTCACTCTCTCCCACAAAAAGGGCGCTTGTAAGGAACATGTCTCGAACAGCAACCAGCGCGTGAACAGGAAGAGAGCAGGGAGAGGAATACCGGAACTCAGCGCGGCAAATAGCCGTTTCTAATGGCTACGAAACTGTAGCTCGAGATAGGTGTAGAAGAAACCACAGGTACCCCAATGATAACTCTGGCGACAATAAGGTCTCGTTTATACTGCCCTTTATTTCAAATAAAGTAAGTGCAGCTATAAAACGCTGTTTAAGGAGGGCCGATCTAGAGAATTCGATAACCGTAATTGAAAAGCCACTGCGTACTCTAAGACGCCAGCTTGTTCGTAACCGCCCATATACCACCTATATGCAACGCAAAGTTGCATAATTTGCTCTAATGGTAGAGACGGTGATTGCGTAACATGGAGATCAGTTTATTTGATCCTTTGTAAAGCGCGTGGGAACGAATACATTGCCGAAACGGGTAGACCACTGTATAAAAGATCACCTAATTGGTAAACTTAAGCCAAATGCTCCATTGGGCACACATAGGACGCAAAGACATAACGGGGAGGATTTTGAAGCAGGGGTTATTATCCTCTCAAAGGAATCGAAAACACAAACGCGCAGAACTCTCGACGCCTTCCGCACTAATTCCAAGAAACCGAAATTGAACCGCAGGGAGCAATGCCTCATAATCACGGCGCACATTACGCTTCCGTTTAAACTCTTTGCGGTTGGTCTCCACGTGATGTACTCAATAGAAAACTCGTAGAAAGCGTTGTGTGCAAAAAAGCTATTCCGTGCTCAATTTGATTGAAATCTTGGTTTAGCATTTTCTCTGTTTGGTTATGGAGGTGTTTGGCTGGGTAGATTGCGGTCAACTTGAACTTCTCAGGCTCCGAGAGGGTGAAATTCGTCGAAACGTCGGTTTCTTTTTGAGAATTGTTTAAATTAAACTGTCCGAGAACATCCACACCACCAAATGTTACCGAAAGGCCAAGTAATAGAAACATAATGGCTCATTACCTTCTCTCTCACCCCTCACAAATAGAAAGGGTGCTTGAGAGAAACATGTTTCGAACAGCCACCAGTGTGCGTACAGGAAAAGAGCAGGAAGAAGGATCTCTCAATATGGCGCAGCAAATAGTCGTTTCCATTGGCCGCAAAATGGTAGGTCCTAAAGATAGGTTTGGTGAAGAAATGACGCCACCATAGAGTATCGGTAGCGAGAATAAAGGCCTGTTCGTTCCGCTTTTCATTTCCATCGAAATAAGTGCAACTATAAGTATAAGACCTTACTCAAGTGAGGATACTTAAAGAAATCTATAGGAATGATTTGAACGCCACCGAAAAAACTTAAATATGTTTCTACTTCATAACCTAAGGGCTCGTATGGTGCAGTGGTTGGAGGTGCCACTACGACACACACGTGAAATCGATCCGCGCGCCCATGGCTCACCAGGCCTTCCATCCCTTCGGGGTCGGCAAATAGATACCATAGTTGTCTGAGAGGATAGCAGCACTGGCTGGATACATTGGTAGGCCACTGTGAATCATTGTACAGGCCAGATATGCCTTCAATCACCTCCAACGATACTTATTGAAGTCGAATGCATGGCGCATCCCTCAGGGATTGATCAACGCTGAAAGTTTTATCCTTTATCCTTTACTTCATAAGCATGCGAAAAGCAAAGTTGCATGATTTGCTTTCATAGCTAATACAGAGGTTGTATCATCTCGACAGCGGTGTACCTAATCTCCTGTAAAGCTCTAAAGACGAATATATAGGCGAAACCGTTGGACTACTTCTGCTTATTTAAAAGCGCTCGTAGTTGGGATATAGAAACTATCCTTTGAATTCTCGGTGAAGTGACATAACCAGTGAAAGAGTTATGAAGCGTGGCGAGTGTGCGAAGAAGCTACTTTGTTTCCAATTAAATCGAAATCTTGGCTATCCATTTTTTTCTGTTTTGCTTATGGAGATGTTCGGTTGATTGGGCTGCAGTCAATTTGACCATTCGATGCTCTGAGAAGACGAAGTCTACCGAAGTGCCAGCTTTTTGTGATTATGAAGTAAAATATAGCACGAAACTCGTGTCTGTTTATTGAAGAAAAACAGCGAATTAGAATACCAACCTTTGTTTGCTCACAAAGAAAACAGTGAATTATTTGATCAACACCGAAATTAATAGAACTCGGTTTTCGGAATAACCGCAGGATGTACCTGAAAGGTGCTTCCTACTCGTAAAAGAAGTATTGTTACTAAGCCAAAAAATTGTTTTAGATCGACAAAGAATACACTTTCTCCGCAGCTGCCAAAAACACCGAGTGGTTCCGAACATCATCAAACGAAGACGACTACAAGATGTACGTGTACAATCAGAGGATAGTCAAGGAGTGCTGGAGATCGAAATGCGATTACTACTGACCTGCTAACGATGCAAACAAAACAAGATGTTCGCTCAGTTGAAGAAGTGCCCTACGAACAGAAATTATAGTGCTCAATATTCAGAGGATAACCTGTGGAGGAGAATAGTGGGTGGGTCAGTGTTGATTTGCAATTCTATTAGGTCTAATGCCGAAGTAGCTTTACGAAGAAGATTCGATGGCCTTGCGAGAAAGTCATGGCTTGGCTTCAAGAAGCTGTATAAAAACACCGATTAAACAAATCGCACTAATACAAATAACATGCTAGAAGCCTAGTTAAGCCTTACTTTACTAGAAGGTGTGACTCTCCTTGCTCTCCCTAACGGAGTGCGCTCGCTATGAGAATTGAGGCCAAGTTTCTCACCATCTTAACAAATTTCTAAAGTAACCCTATTAAGGATCGCGTGTAATTTGCATGAATTCCGAGCCAGATTCCGAGATAAGGCTATAGTTGAGAAACTAAACACGAATGAATAATAAGAAGTAGTGGCGTTACCACCACTGCCATTTCCTAAAACGTTCTTTAGACAAAAGATTCCTACGATGAAATTCATAGCAAATTTCGGATATACGCGGACGAAATTTTCAAAGTGCTTAATGATCATTACACGACGCCACACACACGACATGACATGACATGACAGCATGCAAAGAGTTACGACGATTATTTTACTAATTTTATTCATGCTGCACGACCTATCTTCACATCTTCTATATGGATCCCAACATTTCTCGCTTGGTTATTCTTATTTCCTCCCAACCCAACGGTTTACCGCCTTATCGTGGCTGGGAGATGTTCCTGGGTGTCGGACTGCGAAATACAGAGGGGAATTCATCTCTCTGCAGCGTCTCTGAAACAAGAAGGAGTCCAACGTTTCCATCAGGAAGCCTAGCTAAGAGTAAATCAGTACCAATAGCTGGATTCACCAGCGTCTTGGTATCAAAGTCTCTCCCACTCCCTCCCACAAGGACTGCAACTGCCTGTGGTGGTGAAGACCTGGGGCAGACTTTGGCAGGGCTAACCTCGAGGCTCCAGGGAACCATAATGGCTTAACCAGCAAATCTCCGAAAAATGGTGATTATGCTGGAGTCCGCACAACCAGTGAGGATGGGCCATTCAAGTATCAAGTAAGTAACTATTCTTATTTTCTGACGTGAGACAGGCACATTATCTTACAGTGTGAACTTTATGGGTGATCTCACTAAGTGATTAAGTGAACGATACACTGAACCATCTATTGATGTTTTCCGAAAGTTGTTCAACATTTTATTAAAATCCATTTTTATAGTTTTCCCGTAGGCGTCGTGAAAGTGTTCGGTCAGGGACTAGATTTTCATGCGACCACCTTTCCATGGCTTGAAATTCACCGAAACACCAAATATTAGCTATCATTGGAAAAGACTACATATACGATTCCTTTCTCATCTTAACGAGCACATAGCAAGTTTTCGCAACGCGCAAAGGCCAAAAAAAACTCCGTCCAGGGAGCGTGCCTTTATATAAGCTCTTCTATAATAATTATAATTCATGCGAGTCAGTTGAATGACATCGATGTAACTTTATATGCGACAGTAAAGTCCCAAATGTAATCTCCGACTCCACCTTTTTTAGATTTGTTGGAGAGTATTTCCACGCTGCAGATATTTTCTTCTCAGGCAACTAAAGTATTGTTCCCGTGGGAAAATTCTCGCGAACAATGTAGTTCTATTTTTGGTAGCGCAAAAATTTTTCTGAAAAGTAGGGCAATTGCAGAATGGCACTTAACGCCAGTTATTATAAAGCAAATTTTGAGAGCTGCCTTATTTTATAGAGAATACTGTGTTTAAAACTAAGCAACATACTTAAGCTGGCGATAACAAAATTGCAAGCGTTTCTGGGTTTTGGTGTTTTACCGAGTAGGGCCAAAATTAGCAGCTGCAGAATACTGCGCAGAATATTTAGCACGAACATCTTGGGGTTTCCAAACATAATCAGACTCTACCAGAACTGATTATCTGATTGAGGAGAGAAGACTACGATTTGTCAAGCCAGTGTTGGATTCTAATTCGAGCTCGACTAATCACGCGCATAGTAGTTGTGAGACGACGACACGCATGGAAAAACTAATGGGACTAGTAAGATATTTGAAAGTCGCTCATCCAATCAACTAGGTACCTAAATAACCAGAAGGTATCAACTAAGTGAACGTTGAAACT